TAATCTTAGAAGGGCAAGGTAAGGGTTAGATATTGAGTCAATTTCCAAAAGATAAATATGTATTTTTTTAATTATTCTCCAAAATAAATTAATTTTCGAATTGAGAATAATGCATAGTTTAGTGTCCTGACTAGCGGATGTTAAAATGCTATCAAAACGACATTAAAACTTATACTAATTTTCGAAACTGGTCCTTTCTAATTGGGAAGATGCACATTTGACCATCTATTCTGGATTCAATAGGTATGCACATGCATTTGGTTTGTCTCTTTTAACCCTCGTGATGGGCAGTACTACCAGATAATAATGCATACTCTATTAATTTATCTCGTCTGCAAATAAAATAAATAGGAAATTCTTCTGCTTAAAGATGGGTGATTTAACAATATTGGAAAATATTGAGCTACTATGTGTATTCGAATGACAAGAGTTACATAAGTCTGTTACTAAAAGTTAAGCTAGTAGGATTGATAGTCGTTATTGTTGTATTGAACGTTTATCTGACATCAGAATATGTCATCAAACATAGAGTTGATGTCAAATAACTCTTTTAGCTCTCAAATTAACACCAACATGATAGATATTAAAAAAGACTATTCAAGAAGGATATCCATAAAAAAAGACCACATGCATAATATTTGATACTCAGTAATACAGAACTAAATATGGAAAACTCTATTATAGAATTTACTCAATTTAAAATATATGAAAATCAAGGTAAAATTAAAAATAAAACTTATGAAAGTATATTTAAAAAGTATTCAAAAGTTCTACAGAGCACACAAGAAGATATCACAATTCACATTAGGTTATCAATTTAAAATAAGTTATGAAAGTAAGTAAATAAATTGATTAAAGTTCCATTTTGGAATAGTAAACTTGAAGATGGATAGAACTAGGAGTAATTTAAAGTGATTCTAAAGAAAAAATTGCACCTTGTCCCATGTGTTATCCTTCTAAAATAAAAATATTTATTTCACTATGGTTCTTTTGCCTTAGAAAAAAATAACCTCGAAACCTTAGTGTTTGTTGGTAAAATCCATGGTTCCTATCCTTCAACGCCTTCCCCCTCCTGGCAGTATATTGGCAATATATTTTAGTGAAATTTGCACGGAATAGGACTAAAACATAAGTCATTTCTCAATGTAGGACTTAAACTTTTTTATTTCCTAAATAGGACTTAATAATGTCTAGTGAGAAGAATAATGCCCAAGTGATGCTGGACATTTAGTTGAATAATGACTAATAAATAATGACCAATGGTCATATATTTAAAAATAGAAACATATGGTCCTATATTGAGAAAGTCATTATGTTTTAGTCCTATTTAGGTAAATTATCATATATTTTACCAACTGAACACCGTAGTGTCCTAAAATGCCTGGACTATTCTCGTTTCATTTTTTTCTAAGGTCAAAATAAGCTTAGAAACTAACAGGAAATATTTCTCTAAGGTTTGTGGTGCCCATTAAATTTTCACAGGGTTTGTGAGGTCTGTTCAGAATAGCACAAGGAGGTATGGTCCAATTTTCCCTGATTTTAAATCAAAATTCAAAATGATCTAATTTGCAGATGTGGTTCAGGTGTGGTTTACAGATCAGGAAAACCATGGCATTGCTCCAAATTTGCAGTAGTGATCTAATATCAATCCATAAGAATATGAGAATTGGAAGATATAAACTACTAATCCAATTACCCATAGGGTCCGTTTGGTACACGGAATTGACAGAATTGGAATTGAATTGGAAGTTAAAATTCTAAAAAACTTATTTGGTGGAATTAAATTCTCTAATTCCAGTTCATTTTTGTTGCTACCACTTCCAAATCCACATATTTTTGTGCTACGAAACACTAGAATTGGATTTGTTGTCCCCAATTCTAATTTCAGAGTTTGAATTCTATGTACCAAACGGAGTCATATTCTTTCTACTGCTTTATTTCTTTTTGTATTTAACAGGTTGTTCAATAACAAAAAATTGTTCCACTTTCACTAATGTGGCTAAAAGGTTGAAGATCAATCAAAAGGGTACACACAACTGACATAAGATCACAAATGGTAGAAAAAGATGCTTGGCAAACAGGTTTTTTTGGGCTAAAGGGGCTGTTTGGAAGTCATTTTTGTGTACTTTGAATTACAGATCGAACTTCAGTTTCAATTTCACACTTTACATTTGGACACTTGACATGCTGTTGAATGAGAACAAAGTTGTGTTTAGAGTACGGTATAGTATTTGCATAGAACTCCTATATTTTTTTTTATGTTCATATTTTCAAAGAAACACCATTCCTAAATGATTTCACAAACTAATGGAGCAATAGTAGGGCAAGGAAGATGGTGAAAATCTCACAGAGTATTTGGTGATCTTTGATCCTCCGTGAAGCTGAGAAATCAATGTCATACTTCAGTGTCATGTTTGGGTACAAAACTCCCCAATGTTGTCCTCTTCCACTGCTCCCATTTCCCCTCTCAGGCATTTCATCAAACAGTTGATAGATGTATGCCTGAGAGACACCCTCTTGCCGCAATGGAGTTCCCATTCCTGATCTCAGGTGGGAAACCAGCCCTTTCAGGTACATCTCAGCGTACAGATGACTTGCATCGGCCACCGCTCCCGATTGTTGGTTTCCGCCGCCTGATTCAGAGCTAGGCCACCCCGTCTCCGTCACCACTATAGGGATACTCTCGTGGCCTGAAACAGCCATTGCAGCGACGACAGCGTCGACCATCATGTCGAAGAGATTGTAGTACCGGAAACCGGTGATGACGTCGTCTCTATAACTGAATGCTCCTTCCCGGAACAGTGCGAATCCGACGGTGATCTCCGAGTGGAGTTTGTAGACGGTGTAGGGATATAGATTGACGAGGAACGAGGAATTTGTGTCTTCCAGAAACTGGAGCAGAGGTCTTATGATATGGCTGTCCGCCGGCGCCTGGAACTCGCCGGACGAGGGCGGGAACGTCTCCGTGACCACATTGGTGAAGGAGAAAGTGGTGGATACGGAAATAGACCGGATGCCGAAATCGCTTAAGGCCAATTGGACGTTGCGTATTGCCGGTAAAATAGCCGTGGAAGGATCGAAGACTCCGGAAGAGGCGGAGGCGACGACGTCATCGCCGACGGAGATGATGGTGACGCGGGACCGGGGATAGAACGGGAGAACGTGATCGTAGAGCCATAGGTCGGCGGAGCTGCGATTTCGAGCGAAGTAGGGAACCAAGTAGTTGGGGACGGAGAGAAGCAGAGAGATGTTGGTGTAGGAGAAGGCACGCACGGCGGCCGGAGTAGGATCTACGATGCGGACGGCGGCGACGTCTCGAGCCATGAGATAGTTAGCCACCTGCTCGGGCGGCGGAAGGCCGGGCGAAGGAGTGTAGGTGAAACCGATAGCTGTTGTTGTAGTGGAGCGTGCGGCAGCGGAGGCGCCGTGGAATTGGAAGAGCTGTGAGAGAACGAAGACGAGAAAATGGCGAACAAAGCATCTCACATTCGCCATTTTTGTTCTGTTTCGAAGCTCTGAAGAGGATCGGAGATATAAGGGTTTTGCTTCTCTGCAATGGAGGTTTTACAGTGCGCTCAGCGAGTCGACTCAATTTTATTTCATAGCGACTCAGTTAGTTAGGCGGTTACGATTTCGTTCCGGTGCTTCGAGACGCAGACAGGGTTGCATGCTCCTCATCCTAGAGCACATATGAGGGTGAATATTATTTTTTCTATTGAAGTAGTACCTTCTTGAGTTTTTTTTAAACTAAAATTTATGTAAGTTAATTTATCTAATTATTTTTTTTGGAAAGCTATCTCCAATGATATATCTTTGTACGAGTTTTGGATTGTTGTTAAAAATCTAACAGTCAATTAATGAAATTTTCAAAAAATATCTGATTTTTGAAAATAAAAGAAATTTGAAATTGTTTTAGGTAAATTTTCTTATTTTTGTTTTGTTAATTTCTAACATTAAAATAAATTTATGCATATTTTTTAAATTTTTTTATAAATAATACTTCACCAAATTAAGTAAGTGAAATGTGAGATTGTTTTGGATAAATAATCCTTTCATATTTTTTATAAATAATACGCTACCAAATTTAAGTATTTTTATCTAAATTGATAGTTGTAGTTTTAAATATAGGTGAGCGTGGTACAGTATGATAGGGTATACTACCTCCGTCCCACTATATTCGTCCAATTTTGACTTTTGAAATTGTTCATCTAAACACTTTGACTCATCAAAATCTCTCAATGTATAAGCCTAAATATAGTAATGTGTAATCTTGTTTGATTTGTCTTAACATATAAATTATTAATATATAATTTCTATAATTTTTTAATATACAAATTACAAGATAAAATGGATTAAAAAAATTTATTGAATGATGTGCAAAATTAAAAGTGAACAAATATAGTGGAACGGAGGGAGTAATATTTTGGTTCGGTTTTATATTTTTACATGGTAGCAAACTAGCAATCCCAATTCCAAAGTACTCCGTATTGGGGCGGTATAGTTTGAGATATTTCAATTTCAAATTCAGTAAATAAAAGGATTGAGCAATGCTAGGGGTTCCTCCATTACCACAAAAATGGATAAGAATTTTAAAAAAAATTAAATAAATAAAAAGTAGATAAAAATGGGTGGTGGAGAAGGAGTGAGGGACAAATGGGATACAACATTTGGTGTACCCTAGCATTTTTCAAAAGGATTTTATGTATAAATTTTAGTTTACGTGAACAAAAAATAAGCAAAAAGAATAAAAGAAATAATCCAAAATAGAAACAAGAGTCTTTAAATAGGCAAAAAGAACATATTAAAAATAAAATAGAAAAACATAATTTTAGATATTCTTTTTCTAATAAGAAACATAGCCTATCGGATAAAATTTACATCGTAATTTATATCAAATGATACAAACCAGATCAAAATAGAAATCGTATAGAAAATTACTCCGTGAAATGAAATCATATTTTAGGAACAAAAGAACATAATCAGCCTAAGAAAGTACTGTTTCAGTTCACCAAGTGCTTAGATATAAGATCTTATGTTTAAAGACTTCATATGAGTAAAAATGATAACAATAATTTGCATGCTTGAAGATGTAAAGGAACCAAGTGTTCATTTCAGGATGGGAAGAAGAAGATTATGCTACAATCAAAACATTGTTTGTACCATTAATATCTCTCAAACAAACTCAAGGAAAATAGAAAGATAAGAAAATGAGGCAGGCTAGAGGGTCCAAGTTCCACTGCAACAAAAAAACTTGATTCTCCATCTTCACTGCAAAACGTAAGATGCAAGTATTAATCTCAGCAAATGGATGAAATTGAAAACAATACAATACATGAAATTACAAAGACAGTTCCCTGATTTCTATGACAATGAATGTACACATACATATTAACCCAACCCATATAGTGTAAGGCATATTTAGAACTCACCTATGCATACATAGATGAGAAGAAAGACTAGAAAGAATTAAGCACACTTTACTTCTAATACTGAGAATCTTGATTTTCAAAACAAGGTAAGAATCATGAGCAAAAGTGATGTGAAGTGCCAAAGAACCCACAGCAGCATAACAACACAAAATGCCCATTATGGATTATACAATAGTTGGGTGGAAAGATTTTGAGACAAAATCTAAATAGTTCTGAAGCATTAACTGTATATATATATATATATACTTCTACCCTTCTTAAATAATATAGCAAGATTAGCAAATACAGGTTCGGCATTACAAAATTAAACCGCCAATATATGCAATTATGTAAACATTGATATTACAATAGTTTATCAGGAAGACGTTATGAACATCTCATTGCCTAATGTCTTTTATTCATAGGTTAGGCAATTAAAGTCAAATTTAGTTAAATTACACTATATATATTATTTGCAGGGTATAACTCATGACAGCTCAATTGATTGCTAAACTTACACATAGTGTTTCTAAAAAACCAATTCAAATTAAGTCAATTTCATCTCGAAACTTTCAACTTAAAGAAACAACTCAACTCATCACACACTGATTCACAAGATCAACAAGATCTCTGCTAATCGATATGAAAACTAACACCAAGTGGACAAAAATACTTCAAACAACGAAATTGGCACATAAAGCCCAAAATATAAATAACATTATTGGTTGAAAATAATACCTTAGATATGGCTTGGGTACATGAAAACGCGAACCTTGTTTCCCTGCAAATTCAAAATAACAACACAACATAGATTATAAAACAATATAAACTCTTTGTGGGCTGAAATAATTTAAGCAATCAAATCAAACGAACCATGGATTTGGGCGGCAAGTTCGACTTGAACTTAGCTCTCACAACCCCACTGTTTCCGTGAGGCCGGCATACTTTTCCCCAGATACATCTGTAGAGGGAGTCATTCTTCTTTGTCTTAGCCTTGTAGACATAGGCCATCCTCTTTCCCAAGTACCAGCTCACTTCCTCCTTCGTGTTCACTCCCTCGATCTGAATCAAAGAGGTGTTCGGGTACTGGTTTGACTTCGATCTGCACTCCAATTCACGAAAAATCAGAATCAAAATAAAATCGTTCAAGAAAAATATGAACGAGTAAATGTGAACAAGAACACGAATTCCATGAATCACCTCTTGTAGCCGAGGACAGTTCCCCTGACATAGAGTCTGCAAACAGAAAATGAAAGAAATATTGGAAAAACAGGAACTCAGAAAGAAATGAAAAGAATGAAATCAGAAAAAATGCTAAAAATATAATCAGAAAAAATGAAAAAAAAAGGAATCAGAAACGGAATAATGGAACCTGATGCGCTCTCCTTGACGTCCCTTCACCATTTTTCCCCTGGAATGGAACCCTAATTTCAGACGAAAGAGAAGACGGAAGAATGGAACCCTAATTTCAAAGACGAAGGCGAAGGCGAAGACGGAAGAGATAGATTTATACTTAGGATTGCAGAGGGTTGAGGTTTGGATTGGGCCCGTACCCTGAATGCGTTGGGCTGATTCGGATCCAGATCCAGATAGACTTAAACTTTTCTTATATAGTCAATGTCTTGATTCAAGCAAATTAAAATAATTAAATTATTTTTCAATTAGTTATAAATATAATTAACCTAACTAAATCATTTTTTAAATGCATAAAATTAAATTTTTCCTAATGTATTTGTTAAGTTTAAAATTTTTAATGAAAACTAAACAAATTTTCAACATCAATTAAATAAAAATTATTTTGTATAGTGTATATTACTCCGCATTATAAAAATAATTTTATTAAATTTATTTTGTAAAAAAATTTTAAAATTTCATTTCATTGTTTAATATGAAATACAAATTCAAATTCTTTGATGATTAAATTTTTTTCAGATTAACTCGAAAAAAATTAAATTGGACAAATATACTATGATGAAGGTTGCATTTCTCATAAACCTTACTACAATAGCCAAAGCTAATCTTCATACTAAGGGCTTGCTTTGGAGTAGTATTTGAAATTAGCGTTAGCGTTTTGAAAAAACGATCTACGAACAGTATTTAATAGCATTCTCAAAAGAATTTACACCGTTAAAATTTTGTCCACAATACTAACACTAATCTATAACGCTATTCTTAAATAGACCTTAAGTTAGCCAACACAAAACGAAGAAGTGAATGAGACAAAGGAATGAGATTTAGGGAGTCGATTATTATTTTTGGAATGGAGTTTCCTACGTGTCTCAAATGGAAAAGTGTCATGACACCTCAGACCTTACACCAACAAAATATTTCGAGATTTTAGACGGCTAGACACTTCTACGTAAAAGTATTTCAACTAACAATACTCTCCTTCTTAGAAATTAGAATGTTCATCCCGTTCACTTAACTTTAATTATCAATTACATTAAGCTTACATAGAACATAAAAAACAATAAATTAAAATTTTGATAGTTTTCACACGATAAATCAAATGGAATCAATTTTGTACTAATATCTACTCGATACGTCTCAAATTGGATTACCGAATCATAACTCTTTGAAGACTTAGCTCTCGATAACTTTTTACTTGTTTGTGTATTTTCATTGCTTTTTTGAAGACTTAGCTCTCGATAACTTTTGTTATTTTCATTTTAAATGCATAAATTTTATTAATTATTAGTAAACTAATTTTTAAATAAATTAATTTTAAAAAATGCAAGGTTTTACTTTGTAAATATGAAATCATAATCTAATTTGAGACGGATGAAATAATACAATTTGTATTTGATTGATCAAAATTTGTCAGGTTTAAGTTTTGAAAAGTCAAATTAAATTTTAACATAGATAGTACTCCCTCCGTCCCATTTTATAACATCTGTTTCTGTTTACGAATGGTATATAATTAAAAATTACATATTAAAATACTACATCAAAAGATCTACAAAACTAGTAGTGACAATAGTACTTTATTTTATCAAATTGCTAACGAAAATAGAGAAATAAAATGAATGAAGTTTGACCATGTGAATAGTGAACATACATTATAATTTGGGAGGGAGGGAGTATATCATAAACAAGGAAGTGTTTACATGAATTTGTCTTTAATTATTGTAAGAAAAATTTTATTAGAAATTGGGATGAAATGAATAAAATTGCAGAAGGGAAAAATTAGCAACAAAGGTGAGAAACTGAAGGAGTGCTACACACTTTTTTTTGTTTCACGCTTATTGTGATAATTATCATCTAAAAATGGTCGCAGTCGAATGGCTAGAAGCTAATGGATCTAGCAACCAAATCGAATAAGATGATATAGTCAATTTGTGAGAGGTTGCCCCAAATGGAAGCGCCGTTTGATAACGGCAGGCAAACAACACCATCGGCTACATAATAGCTAAGCAATGCTTTGGGCGAGAGCTGAACGACGGCGCCCCCGGCAAAATGTGCCGCCACCGCCGGAAACACTTCCGCGGCTATGTCCGACGCATTGTAACAAAGTCTAAACGTGCCACTCGGATCGCTCACCGGAGTGCTCTTCACCACACTTCTTAACTCTGTTATCAACGCCTCATGCAACTCATTTGGGAGATAGGTTAAAGTGGTCCCCGAGTCGACCAGCATTCTGCCGGTCGATTCATTCAAGGGCTTGCAGAGCACTGTTTTCCCCCCGACACTAAGGTTTTCAGTTTTCTAACGTGATCCAGTACCCAGATTCCGTGTCGACCATAGGGGTTGAAACGACACCGTCTGGGTCAGGGATTACAGCGTCAGAGTCGAATGCGATGTGGGTGGAGACATTGGCTTCCGAATACCACGGAAGGCAATACATGAACCTCCCAATGTTGGCCTGTTTGATGAAGGAAATATTATCGCCATTGCTGAGGCCGAAAATTCAGGTGGTCATGGGCGAATTCGTCCCAGAGTTATTGAAGCCACACCCGAACACGAAATTCGGGAAGGACGTGTCACCGATCGCAAGAGTATCGTAAGCTAAGTCACCATGAGGGTACGACGCATCCATATAGCCGTAGTCGTAATGGCATAGGTTGGTGGAGGTGTCGCATGAATACCAGCCACCCTCGAGACATATTGGGGTGTCGCACGGCAACCTCGTGTACGACGCGCTCGTTGACGGCTCGAACAACGGCATGTCTTGCGGAAAGCATACGCCTCGACATGGCTCGCATTGTATCCACGTGAGATCGCTGCCGGTGTCCATTGCGGCGAACCTCTCTACCGGCGGCGTGCCAATGGAGAACTTCATGGCATAGTATCCGATGGCGTATTCTGCATCGGTTGCAAACTTAGCTGTTGCAGAGCCGGGGAGGCCCGGCAAAGTAGTAGCCGCGCGTCGCTTCATTCGGGCGACGCGTGATTGGGATGGGAGAAGAGTGTCCTTTGGATACTCAGCCCTAGCTTTTGAAGGATTGTAGGAATGTAAGTTTATTGGAGAATCAATGTGGATGATTTCAACTCGGAAACTTTGGCTTTGAGCACAAAGGAAAGCAAAAACACCAAATAACACATTAATGGTTTCTAAAGCCACCATGTTTTTTAAGAGAACTTTAGATTTCTTTTATTTTATGTATAGCACTAAAAATGCTAGTGCATAGTGCGTTGATTTTGTTGTTTTATGGGCTCAGCTATGGAGAATTTACTTAAATAGTACTCGTAATACAATATATAATGACTTTTCCAATGTAGTATCGTATATTTTTATTTTTCAATGTAGTACGCTATTCAATGTCGATTGGTCATAGTACGTTCAAGTAAATGTCCAAAGCCATTGGACATTATTCAAACTAAATGTACATTATCACTGAACACTGTTTCTGCCACTAGACATTATTGAAGTACTATATAAAGAATTAAAAAATTTAAGTGCTATTTGGAAAGGGGACATATGTTTTAATGTTATTTAGTACAAATTTCACCTAAGGCATGTGTTACCGAGTAATACTTAATCTGTATAAACACGTAATATTTTATTACCCGCTGATTGAATGAATGCATTACTTGCAACCGTGGTGATTAAATTACTTAACGCACCATTTAAGTAGCAATAAAAAGTGTTGTTATATTTACCCTATTTGACTAAGTCCACATCATTCATTAGAAATGTAGAAATCTACTCTCAAAAGCGTAGAAAAGGGAAGGGAATATACTTGTTCAATTCTCATAAATATTACGGAGTAATCTTGTAACATCTTATTTTGAATACTCTGTAGATCCAAATATTAAATTAGTTTACTTGCTATTGTATTTAAAGGGAAAAAGGAAAAAACAAAAAATAAACGAAATATAAGAAATGAGCACCAGTGCTCATATAATTTGAAAAATATGCACCAATACTCCCTTCTTTGCCAAAAAAATGGCCAGAAAATGATGAGATGAATATGAGTGCAACGCTTTGAAACCACAAGATGACAAGAATCTTAAAAATAAGTTTTGAAAAGACGAGTATTAGTGCTAATTTTTCAAACCCGGATAGTACTAGCTCAATTTGACCGATGAACAAAATTGCCTTGCGAAGAGTCAGAAAGGTGAGAAATACGAGGGCTCCACATATATTTGGTCATGGCTACAAAAAAAGATCTACACATTTTGCTAAATATAATCCATCACCAAGTCCTTGAAATATTATATCACCAAGTCCTTGAAATACTTTTTTGTGTCACCCTTCTACCGTTTATTAAAAACTATATACATTCCAATAGACAATGTGAAATGAAATTAGCCCCCACAAAAATATGATACATTGTTCCCAACTTTGCCCCTAACCTCATTTCTGCACACGAACATGCACAAACACAACATTCGCCTCGTGTTCGTACGTACAAAAAAACGACGTTAACGGCAAAGGAGGTAGACGTTGGGTGCCAACAATGTTTTTTTGGGGGAAATAATGTCAATACTGCCACAATCTATGATTTTACACAAACACTTCTAGATTGCATAAACATCACTAAAGCCCATAAAAATTCAATATTTTCCCAATAATATTCCACATTTCTTGGATTTTTTTGTAAAAATATTGAATTTCTGATGCATTAGTGATAGTTATTAATTTCAGAGTATTCGTGTAAAATCTCATATTTCTGGGAATATTGACATGAATTTTTCTTTGATTATATCAAAACAACACCCTACATATCTGCGAAGACATGGTACGTACTAGAGTCGACGACAATCAACCTGAGCGCGGCAACAAAAGCGGCGACAGACAAACAGCCAAAGAAGACGACATTGAGCCAATGCCAGCTCTTGTGCAAGGTGGAGAGAGCGCTGCCTTTGGCAACCATGTACATGTGGTTCGCGAGTATGAACGTGAGCGGGAACACGCTCGTGGCCCCCGTTAGGCTCATGAAGTCCCCGAGGAACGGCAACAAGGCCGCGAGGAATGTGGTGAGGACTAAATAGCCCCCTCGGACCAGTGTCCGGAACCCGAGGTTTCGGGGGATGAAGGCGCTCCCTTTGATCCCGTATCGCGTGTCCAAGAACTCGTACGTCGGGCTTGCAAATATCTGAAATGGATCATATGTGTGTGTGAAAAACAATAATGAGCATGCATGCCTTAAGAAACATTTGTTGTGTAAAAAGGTGAATGTGTAGGATCGTTTTCTAGAACTTCCCCGTGACCATGTTGGGACTACTCCCTTTCCAGCACGCTTAACTACAGAGTTCTGAAGTTAAAGAGGTGCCAAATGCTTCCTAAAACCAATTGGTGATAGGAAGGTGGGCACTTTGTATTTAACCACATCTCTCTGTAGCCCCAAGTTGAGGTAGATTCCTAAAGGGCACCCCCTATAGTTCACTACAGGGGTGCGGAGCCCCACTACTGTGCGGTGGATGGACAGGAGGGGCTTCGCAAGATACACGACTCATGTACCTCAGATTGGGCTGTCAATACCCGATACCGTGACAAGCACAGTAGCGAATCCCTAAGGGTGATCGATGGTCCCCCATAAGACCAACAGAATGTTGCAAAAATAAGGGCAAAAAAGCCTTCTCGTTGTAGAAAAGAGGAATAAGGACTGTCGAAAAAGGAAAACGAGAAGAAAAATATATGGCGAGAGAAGTACAGAAGTAGAGATGGGAACTTACATGCAAGGAAATGATAGCTTGTAAGAAAGCACACATGTTGGCAAATGCCTTCAACCAAACTGGGCCATTGACGTTGTTGAGCAGATACGCAGACGAGCCCGACCCGTAGGCCCAATAGCCCATGAAGGTGACAGCAAGCATCGGGATCACTCCCACGGTGAACTGAAAGTAGAGTGCTTTCATCATGTTCTTCACTGCCGGTTCTTTCACGGTTGCCTGCCATCCCAAATAAACACATAAAATATGTTAAATCATTATAAAATTCTTTCACATGAAGGTAAATCCATACAATATAAACCTATTATGATTTTTTGTGAATCGTTCATTACAAAACTATGAAAAGATGCATATGAATGCTTACCTGTATCTCTGGAATCATTCCTGTGTTAAACGCAAACACGAGGTTACCAGCTGCACCGATAGTTGTAAATATTCTGCCTGTTTTCGTTCCCGGGATGTCATAGTCTCTCGGAGGAGCATTTATACCTATTAGATATTCAAAGTTAAAAGCAATAAAACTATGTTTTGTGTATATATATATATATATATATATATATATATATATATATATATATATATATATATATATATATATATGGAACTTTTTTGTCCACTCATACAGAGATGCTTGTGAACCTTGAGCATTCGAACAGATAAGCAGAGAGAATTCGAATAATCCCATGCTTCCAAGTAATGATTTTTCGAGGAGAATATATCACGTACCATCTTTGAGTGACAAGACAAATGTGGCAAGAAGGTAGACCAAACTAAGGAATGCCGAAACCCCAAGCCAGATCCTTAGTGCTGACAAATGAGGGATCGCAATGGCAAAGAGGAGACATGCCACCCCAGCTATTATGATGAAGTAAGGCAGCTTCATCGCATGGTCATCTCGAAAGAGAACATAAAAGGCCTGCACAACAGAGATGAACAAAATTGTTGGGATTCGTGTTAAGAAATCAACTCAACGACAAGCTCAAGAAATGTTTTACCCTAACCCGTGGTGCAGAAAAGATTTGTTTTTTACTCGAAGCTTACACATGAATATAAATTTTCAAAACTGGGTAGTGATGAGATTCAAACGCTAAGTCAACCACACTCTATACCATGGGGGGGGGGGGGGGGNATTAACAAAATTGTTGGGATTCGTGCTAAGAAATCAACTCAACCACAAGCTCAATAAATGTTTTACTCTAGCCCGTGGTGCAAAAAAGATTTGTTTTTTACTCGAACCTAAAACATGAATATAAATTTTCAAAACTGGGTAGCGATGAGATTCAAACGCTAAGTCAACAACACTCTATACCATGAGGGAGGTGGGGGGGTGCTATAGAAGGATAGATCATCATACCTTTAAGGCCTGGCCACCAAGAATGACATATCCAATATTAATCAAGAATAGATTTGCATACTGCAATGCCCAAATTAGTGAATAAGCATTTGGACCTGCAACAATCAACATCTCATTAATCACACTCTTTCCAAGATCCCACACCACAACAAATTTAGAGCGTGTCTTTCTTTGCTGATTATTCAAGTTTTCACATACCATATATAAATCCGGCAAGGTCTCTGTATCTAATATGCCTTTTTCCTCCAAGTTCATGGAGCTTAGCTATAAGCGTGCTGGCATATAACGATATAGCAGTGGATAGGATCAAGCCAACCACACCGCCTACCCAACCTAGTGGCACCATGATGGTTCCCGAATATCCTAGAGCATATGCGCTGTTGATTCCAGTACTGAGAACAACTCCAACTTGAAACCATGAATCTGATTTTTTGTAAAATATAATTTAAAGAAAAAAATGTAAGTAATCAAAACAGTGAAGATTATATCTTCTTGCCCATATGTACCATTCATTTCTGTAGTTAGTTGGCCAAAAAAAACTGCCAAATAAGGCTCCTTAAAACTACTCTCTAAGTCAGTCCTTGCAAATAAATTACCAAAAGAATCTACAAAGAAACAAAATTTGCAAACCAACAAAACTTTCCAGAACTAGAAACTGGTAAGATTATGATGCATCTGAACAGCAACAAACCCAGCAATATCCCACAAATAGAGAGGTTGTTTCCAGAACTAGAAACTGGTAAGATTATGTGCGTACGCAAATCATAACCTAACCTACTCGAAAGTAGATAGCTTGTTACCCAGAAACACAGCTCAAACACAGAATCAAAGACAAAGTAACCAGAACAAAACAAATAAGAGCACAAACACAAGAAGCACAACCTAATGATGCACCTATGAGTAAAAGAAAACCCACAAACATAAATTCACCTCACAAACAAATCATTCAATCTATCTGCATGATGAAGATGGCCAAGTTTCACAAATCAAACGATCACATACTCTGGAAGTCATATGAAATCAAGAATCACCCTAAAGCTTGAATACCCACCATAAAAATTGAATCTTTAATGACAGATCATACCACCCAAGAATGAAAACCCCAAAAATCAGACTCAACCCAGAAAAGTAAACGCCTAAAACATAAAGAATCCCATTAGAAAAAGACCGATTGAATGACAAAATCAAGACTAGAAATGGAGATCACCGTTGCTGACTTGGTGAGCAGTCTCTGGAATTTCAACAGAGACATCTCCCTCGTCACCGGCGTTCCCAGAACCACGCGTCCCGGCTTCATCTCTGATACCCATCTCCGCCCTGTTTCCTCCTCTTCTTCTGCCACCGCCGACGCCTCCGGCGCCGCTGATGTAAAAAAACGGCGAATCTCAGATACCCGGAACCGGAAACACGCCGACCCGCCCGAATGAACCTCGGCCGCCCGTTTGGCTGCTGCAATGTCGAGCGAGTTTATAGGTTATAGCGCTGCTAAGAACTGTTTAAATAGAGAGCATCCTGCGCCGACGATGTCGGGGGATAAATACAAAATCAAAGATTTTAGGCCGGTCGTTTTGTTCGCCGAACCTATCATTTCCATTGACACACAGTCACACATGTATTAAAAATAAATAAATAAATATACGGAGTAGAAAATAAATACTCGTAAATAATCATAGTGAATTCCACGGGTATGCACGTGCCCAGTAACCTCGTAAACAAAGATGGTTGTTCACAATAGGCCACGTCGTGACGGTTGTGATATTATTGGTTCCTGCTGATTTAAACAACACCTATCCTAGAATCATAAATAAAATACTCCTAAATTATACGAGCACTCTATATCCCTCCATCTCTTTAAACATGATATGTTTTGGTTTTGAAGAGATTTAAGGAGAATGTATTTTAATATTGAATTTCAAAAATATCCTTTGATATGATGGATAAAAATAAGATTTGATGGGTAGTAAAAGGGTATGATGTGATATGTAGGGTATGAAAAAGAAAGAGGTAAAAGTAATTTTTTAATAAAAATAAGAAGTTTTTTTTAAGAATATAAAAGGTTTTTAGGGACAGGGAATATAAATTTAGTGTTTGTGTGATATTGTGATTAGATTTCTACTTTTTTAACCATTTGAGATCATTATTATGCATATTTGATTAGTTTGTGTATTTTGTTAATGTTTAGTCTCATACTTTAGTATTACTATTTAAATACCCCGTACAGTATTAGAGTAAGATAAACCCAAAAATCATTTAGTAAGGAGTATCGTTCTACTACGTATTACTCCGTATAAAACAGGATTATATGTTATACCATATCATAACACGCTTAAATCGTATAAAAAAATTAACATGTACTCCCTGTATCTTAAAACATCTTTCCGTTTGTGTTTACGAGATTTGTTCGAGTTTATTTTTAATTCAATTTATTTGATTGTAGGTGTAAAATTAAAAAATATTCGAGGGTGAAAGCATTTGTATGAGATGAAAGAAGTACGGAGTATTAAAAAGTGTATGGAGACTAGGCTGAGAGCATTTGAACGTTGAAGTACAACAGGATGACGGCTGACTTTGTCAATGTAGCCATGTACCGAGTGTAACGGAGAATGGTCACTGACACGTCAGCTTTAACTTACACCCAAAATTTAGTGGAAATGAGTTTAAAGCCCCGGGGCTTCAAACTGGGGCTTCAAACCTTCATTTTTTACATTTTTAAATATATATCTTCTAAAAATAAATTAATAAAATGTACTTAATTTATTATTTAATTAAATTGAAACATGAATAATAAAAAAACACATTAATTAAATAAAAAAAGTGACAATAATTTTTTAAAAAAAGATACATTAATAAAAAAACTAAGGTAAATTATATTTCTCCTTGATCTCTCTCATTCTTTGCTCGTAGATAATTCGTCCAAACTCCGACAACGTCCCGGGGTCGGTTTGCATGACTTTCATCTCGGCCTCCTGCTCCTTTAGCTTCAACTCCTTCTCTTTAAGCTTCAACCTCTCTTGTTCTTGGAGATTGAACGCCCGAAGTTGTTCAATCATTGCCCGGCCGATTTCGTCGCGGGGAGAAGCGGAAACAGAGGCGGACCCTCCCGAACCAGAGGCAATGGATTTTGCCTTCTTTCTTCCGATCGGCCGTGGAATGGGGTCCTCGTCATCGGAATCCGCAACGTTGAAGGGAGGGATTTGATCGGTAGAACCGATAGTCTCGTCGACCTCNAAAAAAAGATACATTAATAAAAAAACTAAGGTAAATTATATTTCTCCTTGATCTCTCTCATTCTTTGCTCGTAGATAATTCGTCCAAACTCCGACAACGTCCCGGGGTCGGTTTGCATGACTTTCATCTCGGCCTCCTGCTCCTTTAGCTTCAACTCCTTCTCTTTAAGCTTCAACCTCTCTTGTTCTTGGAGATTGAACGTCCAAAGTTGTTCAATCATTGCCCGGCCGATTTCGTCGCGGGGAGAAGCGGAAACAGAGGCGGACCCTCCCGAAGCAGAGGCAATGGATTTTGCCTTCTTTCTTTCGATCGGCCGTGGAATGGGGTCCTCGTCATCAGAATCCGCAACGTTGAAGGGAGGGATTTGATCGGTAGAACCGATAGTCTCGTCGACCTCAACCTCGGCGGCGACGGTGGATCTTTTCCGCAATGATCCGCCGTCGGGATTGTTGAGTTGTTGCCACTTCGGGGAACGACTCAAAATCTTCCAAAGATCGATGGGCACCTTGCCTTGGTTCCCGTCGTCTTGATACCGGGTCGTGGCAAGCCGGAGAACATCGGCGTCGTTCGTGCCGCTCCTCCGGGACCGGGAGCATTCCTCGTAAACTCCCATAAACTTTCGGACTTTTTTGTTGATGTGGCACCATTTGGAAGTGAGTTGGTCCCGGGTTCGGTAGGAGCCGTCCTTCTTCATTGCCGTGAAGAACTTCTCCTCGATACGATCCCACATCGCATCCTTCGTTTGCTCCGTACCTTTAAAAATGTATTACACAATTTTTTTAGACACCATTAAATATAATATATATATAAATAAAAACATAAATATATTAGAAAAAATAAATTTTTTACCGATGATAGGATGCTCGGAGACGTCAACCCAAGCCGACGCCAATATGCACTCCTCCTCCGGCGACCAATTTTTGATTGACCGTGCCGTCTCTGTCAACGTGCTTTTGGCTTTGTGGCTTTTCTGGCGTGTACTTTTTTTCGATCCGGACGGTTCCAGTTGAGTCTCCGGAACCGAATCTCGGTCGACGTACCCCGATTGTTGCGTCTCATTGATCGGCGGTCGATTGCCCCACTCTTGGTAGAACCACATCGCGGCGTCACTCGGCGGGAGATCGTCGGGAAAGAAGCCGGAGCCGGGAGGATTCATGTTGAAAATTGGGAGGGGGGGTTTGAATTTCGAAAATAATAAAGAAGAAGAGATTGAAGAGAAGGTGTGAGAGATTGGTTTGGGGGGGTTGAATTTATAGGAAATTTTTTTTTTTGAAATCTGGGCTGCAACGGCTAAAAAAGCCATTAGGAGGGAGGGGAGAAGACTCACGCCGCGTCATTCGTTTGACGCAGGCTCCTCACGCCCCTTTAACGCCGGCGAGGGGCGGTGTTTCACGCCCCCGAGGCGTTAAACGCCCCGTAACGCCGGTGGACGTGAGGAGTATACCCAGTGCTCTTATATGTAAACGGGAGGATTTATAAAGAGATTTACATTGAATGTAGGTTTTTTTGTGAATTTTTTGGTGTATAAATGAGATACACCAGTAGGATACCACTACCATTATCTACCGTGTAACACTATGCAAAAGAACAAATTGTGCACTCAAAAGAAAAAAAAAACAACTGGGTAACTAGAGCAAAACTATTTGTACCCAAAGATTGTATCTCAAAGTGTATATATATAAAGATTTTATATATACATTTTGTGTCAATATAGTGTTAATTAGATGACTTATATTAACACAAAATGTTATTACAAATTTTTGTGGTTGCACTACTATTTTGTGTCAATATAAATTATAAAAATGTAAGTATAATAACAAATAAGTTCATAGGCCTTAAAAATACTACAAAAATTAGACAATTGATTGGATTTGATGTTTTAATATGGTTCAACTTGAGTGTTTTATACAGAAGATTTTATTATTTTTGCAAAAATGATTTCATCCGAGTAATAATATTAATCTTTTAGAAAGTCATCAAAACTTATATGCTCAAATAAGTTTGTTAACCATTTATGTTGAGAATATTTCGTATGTGGTTCTCATGATATTGGAATTCCATGTCATGAATGACTTTGGTCTGGTATGGTGCCTCATTCGTAAAATTGATGATTTTGATCTATCTCCACTATCCCCCACTCCACCTCGACTTGAACACACCCCTCACCTCCTTCATTTGCATTCTCCCAAGTTAATTTTGATTTTGGAGTTAAAATTTTGACTCAAATGTCAAACTTAATATTGGAGTGCAATTGAAGGGTGTGGGGTGCGTGTTCGGGTTGGGGCTATCGAGTAGAGGGGAAAGGAATTTACTGGGGTGTTAGAGGTAGGAATCATCAATTTTATGAACGAGGCACTGTAGCAATCCCGGGTCATCTCATCACATCATCTCATGAGTATATATCCCTCCGTATTCTTATTAATTATGGAGTATATATTACTCCGTACTATTTTTATTGGAATTAGATTATAAATAATTTTAAATATAATTATACTTATATAATATCAAAACTTATTTCAATTAAATAAAAACTAACTAGATCAGGTGAATAGAAGATATCATAAATACTCCGTCCGTCCGACATAGATCTTCCATAATAGAAAAATCTTAGTTGGAGGGGAGTGCCAAACTTATAACAAGAAGCAATCCTTATTTGAATTATCTTTGCAATATAATTGGACAATTCATGACCGTGAAACCTTCCGCCGCCATTCAGACTACAAAAGAAAAAGTCAGGAAGTCGAAGTCAAAATAACTAGGGAGTACTAAGGCCCCGTTCCGTTCAATTTATTTTTTCTTATTTTTTCTTATTCTTATTAAAATTAGATCAAATCAGATCAGATCGAATCAGATCAGATCAGATCGAATCTGATCAGATCGAATCAGATCAGATCAGATCCAATCAGATCAGATCAGATCAGATCAGATCAGACCCAACCAGATGAGATCAGATCAGATCAGGACTTATTAAAATGAGATCCCATCAAGAATTATTATAATAATTATTATTGTTTTTGTTGTTATTATTATTATTATTTTTATTATTACTATTATTATTAATATTATTATTATTATTGTCCTTAAAAATGAAAAAGAATAAACTTTAGAAATAGGTTAAATAGAAAACTGAGAAAGTAATTCTTAATTATTAGACGTCGAAAAAATTAGTTTTAAAATACATTAACAATGTCAATCTAATTCTACTTTTAAAATATATTCTTATTGCTACTTGTAATTTGAGTTTCTAAAGTTTTGATCTTTTATAAGGATGAGATATTTTAATAAAAATATTATCTCTTCTATATATTGATTATCTAAATTTAATTACTTTTTCATGTATATCTAAATTAAATATTTATTCTAATGTATATATGAAGTAATTATTAAAATATTAAATTAATATTCTAATATAAAAAAATAATCATAAAATAAAAAATATTATTACATTATAATATGAATGATTATTCTAATATATGAATTAACTATTTTTATTTTATAAAAATATAATTATTAAATAAAAAATATTGATTATATTATAATATGAATTATCATTACAATTTTCAAACGTTATTATAAAGTCAAATCAAATTATTAATTTGAAATTTTAAATTAAATCATAATTAATCAGATCAGACCAGATCAGATCAGATCGAATCAGATCAGATCAAATCAAATCAGATCCAATCAGATCAGATCAGATTCAATCAGATCAGATCAGATCAGATCCAATCAAATCAAATCAGATCAGAACTTATTAAAATCAGATCAGATCAGAAAAAATAAGTTGAACGGAACGGAGCCTAAATGAATACGGAGTAAAAAAATGGCCGGCCTATGAATTTAATTACAATATTTTCAGAATACAAAAAGGAATATAGAAACAAGAATTTAATAACTGGAAAGGTGATTTGAATCTGTTAAAGACTATCCCACATCGGAACTTGAAGAGAAAATAAACGGGTATATAAGCTCTTGAGTTGAACTAACTAATCGATTGGATTCAATCTTTTAATGTGGTTCAACCCAAGTGTCTTATTGTCCAATCCAGTTGCCTATACCCCATCCTAAACGGGTATATAAGCCCTTATGTTGAACTAACTAATCGATTGGATTCAATCTTTTAATGTGGTTCAACCCAAGTGTCTTATTGCCCAATCCAGTTGTCTATACCCTATCCTAAATTCTATCATGGTATCAAAGCCAGTTTTAGCCCACCTCGTTTGTCAAGGTGTCCGTCTAGACGTTCATTTCTAGCGGCCCGTTAGTCTTTAGCCCAGTTGTCCATATGGAGTATGTACCCAACGGCCTGTGGCCTGTTTAACACGATTGCTCGTCTGGAAGTCCATACCCAGCAGCTCGTGGTCCTTTGGTGTTGGCGCTCAAAAAAAATCAAGGGGATGGGAGTCCATTTGCAAGTGGTCAACCGGTTAGATTCAAAAATGGCCCGGTTGTCCACTTGAGGGGGAGTGTTAAAGAGTATCCCACATCGGAACTTGAAGAGAAAATAAACGGGTATATAAGCCCTTGAGTTGAACTAACTAATCGATTGGATTCAATCTTTTAATGTGGTTCAACCCAAGTGTCTTATTGCCCAATCCAGTTGTCTATACCCCATCCTAAATTCTATCAGAATCCCATTTGATAGTGAAAAAATGATTGAATTCCCATTTTTTCAAAAAAAGAAATAATAATTTAAAAAAATTATCTACCATGATATCTGGTAAGTTAAATTTGCATTGAATAAGACTAAAACATAAGTCATTTTCCAATGTAGGACTTAAACTTTTTTATTTCCTAAATAGGACTTAATAATGTCTTGTGAGAAGAATAATGTCCAAGTGATGATGAACATTTAGTTGAATAATTACAAATAGATATTTGCCAATAGTCCTGTATTGAGAAATAAAAATATATGATCCTATATTGATAAAGTCAGTATGTTTTAGTCCTATTTAGGTAAATTACCCTTATTATTTGACCTCGGCCCGTTGATTAGGTTACTTAAGCACTGTTTAATTTTTTTAGGCGCCGTTTAATTTAAACTTCTATTTTATTGGGTATAAAAATTAATTTTCAATTTCTTTTCAATTCATTCTTATTTTTTCTTCTATTCTATCTAACTCTTTTTAGTTTGTTCTAACGACTCAATAAACTATTTATGTATGACAAATATATAATATTATATATTATAACATACTACCTTAAGCACGGACAAAAATGATTTTTTTAAATCTAAAATTAGAATTTTCTTATATATACTAAAAAATGACTACTAGTATTTAATTAAGTGACTTTTTAACACTTTAATTTTTCTAACTCTTAGTTTTTTGCTAACTCATTTCAATTTCTTTCGTTAGCATTTTTTTAAGGAAGACAGGATACGGTTGCAAATAATAATGCATTCAAGGATAGATAATAAATTGGATAACGTATGTTTGTTTAATGTATTCAAGCCTTCAAGGATAGATAATAAATTGGTTAATGTATAAATAACACATAGCTCATCAACCCATAAAACAAAAAATTAAAATAAACGCACTAACTTTTCAGTGCTATACACACAATCGAAGAAATCTAAAGTTCTCATTTTAAAAAAAAACATGGCAACTTTAGAAACCATTAAAGTGATATTTGGTATTTTTGCCTCCCTTTGTGTTCAAAGCCACAGTTTCACCGTTGATATCATCCACACCAATGCTCTAAACTCGCCTTT